ATGTAGTACTGTCATTATACACAATAGATATGTATGTCTTCAAGAGTTTGTAATACAAGTGCGATAGCAACTGCTTATATTATAGGCTCCCAAACACCACTGGTGCCTCATAGACATTCACAACTCAAATATTAAATAGTTAGGCACAAATGCTCTGACTTCATTATTAGCCAAATCATTCAAATTTCCTATATATTTTGTGTGTTGTTTCCACGGACACCTTTGCTCTATCTACAGTATCCCAGTATATCCCGTGAAGTTTGGTTCAGCTGCTCAGCTTGACCATCCTCCCTCAGCAGAGTAAGGGGTGAATATGGATTTTTGTTTGGAATATTTATGTAACACAATAATTCTAGGTCATATTTCTTCAAGTTATTTCTGTCTCATTATCAATAATTTCTCCCAAAGAGAGAGAAATCTGTCTGAAACCTAAGTCTGTCCTTTAGAATTGAATTCTTAGTCCTCTTAAAGCTCCAATCAAGCGTTCATCAGCACTAGTGTTCTCTTCTACCTAGGTAACCTAAATCACAATAAAATTCCAAGATGACAGGAGAGTACTTATAGGAGAAAACTAATTATTTACATTGGGCATTTCAGAACTCTCCAAAAATTTAAGTAGTAATAGTTTGTGTCAAAATTAATAAGACGTAGTTCTCCTCCAAAAGTATAGGGTGGGATATATGCATAGCCAGATAAAAATAGAGCAAGTGCATTGCTTGACGCCACTGAAGCAGCTATCTAGTGAACAAATGTAGTCTTTATTCCCACGGCTACAAAATAATGAAAGATACAATATTCCCTCAAATTAACATGTAAAAGAGAAATAAAAGAATGTGTTTGTCAAAATTTCAGTACTAGTATGGTGACCTTTATAATCACTGAGAAAAAGGATGCATTAAAACTTTAATTGTCAAAGCAGGCTTTAAATACCAAGAAAAATGACTGGAGATCAAGGAGAGTATGTTTCACTATATTTCAGAACATAGCTCACCCAAACTCTCCAAGGACACTGAAAGACTGCAGTTGAACAAAGAACTTGACAGGTATTTTGTAAGACTGACCTGACAGTTTATAAAAATGGTTTCCTGTAAATATTTCTTCTTTCCAAGGAAACTCTCATCTTATGAAAATGTTTTTAATCCATTTAACCCTGAATAGTTGCACAGAGTAAACCATTTTCTTATTATTACTAATATAAATGCATACCTATTTTTGAACTTTCTTTCGAACACTGTGGTAAGCACTTTACAAATATTGTATCCCTTGGTTTTGTTAAAGAAACACTTTGGACAAATTAAATTTAACAGAGTTCATTTGAGCCAAGAACAATTCATAAATCAGGTAGCAGTCAGAATCAGAAGAGTCTCAGAGCGCTCCACCCAGCAGTGTGAGCAGTGAGATTTTATAGGATAGCCACAGAAGCAGAGTTGAGAAATCACCTGATTGACTACAAGTAGGCATCTGCTTTATTTGGGCATGGAGTGATCAGTTGGCTACCTGTAATTGGCTGAAACATGGCTGCTTGTGATTGGCTGAAACTAGACTCTTCCTTGTACTCCTAATTTAGGTTTGAGACTGTTTGCATATTAACTTAGGTTGTAATTTGCTTTGTAGGGACTCAGGGTATGGAGACAGCCTCAGGCTAATGGCCTCCTGCTTATGTATCAGTCTTCACACACACAGACACACACACACAAACACACGCACCCAACTAATATATCTTAATATCATTTCCATTTTACGGATAAAAAACAAATAAGAATGCTTATGTCCCTCACTTTTAAAAAACTAGGTTTGATCAACAGTATGTCTTTAAGATAAGGACATAACATCTTGAATTTAGAGAACTGTTTTTCTTCTTGGCTGATGATTGCAAAACAACATTCTCAGTCTTTCTACTGTTTGTTTAGAATTCTTCTATTCAAAGGATTAATATTATCATGAATTAACTAGATAAACAATTTCACCATTAAGTAGTATATCTGCTTGCTTCAGAGTCAAAATAATCCTACTGGTTCTAGTTTTTGATAGACTATGAGAAATTAAATACGATTGATTACTTGAATATTGATAATTTTAAATTGGCTTATTGGTAGAATGGTTAAACTAATAAATATAAGAGTGTTATGGAAAGGTAATAGTCAGGCATTTTCACCTTTGCATCATTTTTATACAATACGACAATATATAATGCTTGGAAGTATTCAGATAATTTGCATATTGTATGACTGAATTAGAGATGTCTCCATATTTTGCAACTTGCTAAGTTACAGCTGAGTGTTTGGAGTGCAACATTCTTTTAAAGGTCACGAAATAACTGTAATTTGCTCAGGAAAGTGTTACAGGCTAGACATTGTTCACCCCTCCACATCGACACTCAGTCTCTCTTTACCAAGTTTCAGCTACTGGAGTCTGATTCCTCAGAAGTTCTCTTGTTTTCTGGCTTTCTGTTTGACAGAAAACAAGATTCTGCCAGTGAGAGACATCATCAGGAAATCTAAATGTGAAGAAAAGAGGTTAGGCATTTAGTTCCACCTTCCTCTCTAGCCCGCACCTCAAGCTGAAATTTGGCTCTGTACCTCCTATGCAACAGCTTCTCTCTCCAGCTACAGCTTTCACTAGTCTCTGATAACAGCTCCTTCTCCTTAGAAATTTCTGGTCTAGGGCATCCCCAGTTGCGGGCCCTCAGGTACTTCATCTTAATTCTTAACCCTACCCATACTTAAATAGTTCCTTCAGTAAACCGCTTTGAATTAAGTATTTCAGTGTGCTTCCTAGGGTGACCAACTATTCTGGTTTGCATGACACTCATGATTTTATTTTAGCACGAAAATCAGATGCCCTTGCTACACACGAGGACAGTTGGTTACCCTCAGCTTCCTGACAGAGCCTTGTCTGATCTAGATGTCTAAGATAGTAAGGGTCTGGTAAAAATATAAGCTATATGGTTGAAAGAGAGGGAGATATTTTATCTGGAAAGAGAGAATGTTAAGTTTTGCTTCAAGATAGTTGGCTTATTTTATAGTAAAGAGTGTAGAAAGTTTAGAGAGGGGTCAGAAGAAACCATGTGTAAGGTGAGGATATAAAGTGTCTAGCACTGTGGTAGGTGATTTTTATAATATTATATATATCTCACCATACCATAAATGTGTTTGAGTAAAGGAGGGTCTGTAAGTAGTACACCTTACCAGCTCAGTAGACAAGAAAATCAGTTGCAGTCATTACATAAACTTAATCAATCTAAAAATTAATCTACAGTTACCTTAGAATATCTGTCAGAATTTTATATCTCTGAAATTAATTGAGAATTTCTAAATAAACAATGAATGAATGTGAGTTTCAACTACCTCTATATCATTTACTTAGGTATAATTATATAAATAACTTAAAAATAATAGGTAGCAAGTAGAGTTTTGATATAAATTTCAATTTTTTCTCTGCTAAGGAAATCATTAGTTTTTGCTGATGAAATAGTCAAACAATTCACTCTCAATATCTCATCACAGTCACTGGTTCCTTTCCCTTCATCACTCTTCCTGCTGGTACAGTATGCAGAACTAACTTTTTGTGCCTTTCATTAATGACTTCTCATTACTTATATAGGAATTCAACTCTTTTTTCCTCTAATGATTGATTATCCTGTATCCTGGTTAGCTCACTTTCTTTACTGTAGCATGCTGTGATAAGTGGAATATTCCATTTCCTTTAACAAGAAAAAAAAATTCTTGATTGTGAAACTGAGGTTCCTGTTATGTAGCAACATGGACATTGTTACATTTTTGCTCTCATTGTACAATTTGTATTTTCCACATATCTCTCAATATTACTTTCAATTTACAAAACAACAGCATCACCAACAATAAGAAATCAATAGCTGCAAATCTTCTATATGCCAAATGCTGTGCTAGACCCTGAAGTAGAGAGTTGAATAAGATGTAGTCTCTGACCTTCAAAAATTGAGAGATGGATATGTCAACAAAACATTCCAATAATATTAAAGAGTAAAACAACAGGTTTGCACAAAGAACAAAATACCCCAAAAGTGTGATTCATTCATCCGGAAGTGTGGATTGGGCAGGAAATGTTGGGTTAAGACATTTTGCAGAGGTCATATCTGAGCTTATCCAGTTAAGTCCATTTCCTTCTCAATTGTAAATGACTTGTCCTGATGAAAAGATGATTAATGCACTAATTATACTGTATTAAGAGTGCATACAATGAAAACTAAGCCTCTTTCTCACTCTACATTTTTTTTTTGCTATCTATGCAAGCAACCAAATCACAACTTTAAACAACCAACAAGAATAAGCAAATACAAAACCAAATACTTAAATGTGCAGATGTTGTATTAACCATCAATTTTCTCCTACAGAAACCGATTTCAGACATTTTGTGAATACCCACTTTTTCTTACCTGGGGAGTTCTTCACCTTCTTTTTATCTAAATAGCTCTATTAAGACAAAGAGTAGTTGAATCCATTACACTGTTTTATATTTCTTTAAGTTCTTAGACACTGTAGTTTGGGGGATGTAGCCTTCACATATAGAAAGTAAATGTCAAGTTGCAAAAGGAATGTATAGTTGGAGAGCCAAGGTTCTGATTTTTTTTTTCTTCATCTACAATTTAGACCTCCATGTACAATGTCCTTTAGCTTCTAGGTCATTCTTTTCTTTTTGTAAAGAGTCTTAGTAGATAAAAATTACAGCCAACAGTCTCAAGGATACCAACCAGGGTTTCAGAGCCATATAATTTAAAAACTAGAAGGAACCTCAGATAACATATAAATAAATATATGCTTTTTCAGCTAAAGAAGCTCAGAGAAGTGAAATGATTTGCCTCAGTTAAAACAAGTAGGTAGTGGCATGACTGTCACTAGAACTAATTCCTGTTTCCTTTTAAACTGGTCTTTACCCTAATACAAAAGCCGAAATAGAAACACTGAAGAGCTGATTACAAAACATATTACTGGATCTCATCAACAGAGGTTGTAATTCGTTAGGTATAATGGAGGCCCAGTAATCTGCATTTCTAACAAGTTGCTGGCTGCTGCTGCTGCCTCAGTAAGAATACATGGAGAAACCTGCTCTACAGCATGCATCTTGAGGCCTTATGTAAGTATTCTTAAACCCAAGCCTGTAATAACTTAGTAGAAAGAAGTTCTGACTCTAAAGTGAATATTTCCTTTTCCTTCCTAATAAGACACTTCATCTCTCTGTAGTACACTTAAAGGTTTGATCTAGAACCTGAAGATTTTCTCTTCATAATTATTTATTTAATTTAAAGCCAGTTAATGTATGCATGCTTCTTAAAATATGAAATAACATTTTTATTGTATGACTTACACCTTTTTCATTAATCGAAACTACCTTCATCAACATTCATGATTATTGATTTACACGTCGTGAATTTACCTATCCAATATTTACCCATCTTGTCAAATTAGTCAACAATGACTGTAAATTATTCTGTCACAAACTTGTAATCCCCTGCTAACCCTTTACCTCTCTGCCTCCATCTTCCTTTCTCTCCCCATTCACTACCTGAGCTCATGTGGTCATGTCAGAAATATATCATTAAACTGCAATGATTATACTTTTGCTTTTCTTTGCTCCACAGACACACACTGACAAAAATCATTCTTCTTTCAAAGAAATCACAGTGTCTAAACAATTCCAAAGTTTTATAAATATATTAAGAAAACAAATGCATTGAGCAAATATAACTGCCATATTAAAAGATATTTTTAATATCACTAGACTATTTTTGCTTCTCTGAAAGTATAATTTTCTACTAGGTCAGCTATACACGTTTAATTTGTATGCTCATTGCTTTCTATTAAAGCAATTATGTATATTTTCTGGAAAAAAAATCCTAACTTTTAATAGACAGAATTTAGCTAGGGTTTTTAACAGAGATATTCTCAATCAACTACCTATTCTTCTCACTTTGCATAGTCATGAAGGCTGTCATAGAAAATGAAGGTTTATAATGAAACACTATAGTACCCTACCATGGGGAGAATGACTGACATCATGTTCTCGTTAATCTCTCCTTTCTTCTTTTTTTTTTTGGTAAAAAATAAAAAAGCCATATGAACATATGAATATTTTTCAGGGCAAGCATGGAGCCATTAAGAAAGCTAAAATTGATTTTTTTCTTGAATATCTAAACATACACACATGTGGAGGACATATTTGGGTAGTGATTGTTTCTCAATGACATTCTTTTGGAGAAGGATGGGAGGTCATATCTTTTGAAGAATTTTATGAGCCTTAATTTTTCAGAGAGTCTTAGGTCTTCTTTATGATTCTAAAGAGTTAGAGACCCGTGTTAGTCTCCTTAACTCTGGACTTAGTTGAGAAACCTTCAGCAGGATTAGCTACATAATTTTAGGGGGAGGATGTCCAGTACAAAGCATGGCTTGACTTCATGTTAAAAATTCTTAACAATTTCAAGATGGCAACTGTAGAGCATTAAACCAAATGTAGGGCTCTTCTGAGAGCAGGGCCCCGTGTGCCTGTGCAGGCCACAGGTTCACGAAGCTGACTGTACCTCCAATGTCTCCATGGATCTATTTGTGTATTGTGAAATTTTCATAGTATTTTTTTTAATGTTGTCTTAAATTCACCCTTTGTTATTCTTCCTTTTAGCAGCAGTTTTAATGGGGCCCATGATGACACAGTCAAAAATATTATTGCCCAGGTTCCCTATCACCTAGATGTGATCATATTACTAAGTTCAGGCTGAGGGGATGTAAACAAAATTGATGTGTGTGACTTCCAGTGCTCCTCCTTAAAGCTGACTCTACCTTCATGTTTCCTTCCAGAATGCAAAGCTCAATTCATCTGCAGAGAAAGAAGGTGGGGATTCAGAACAGAAACTATGAAGAAAAAAAAAAAGAGTTTCATGTATTTGTACCTTTTGGTAAATGAAACATGTTAAATGATACAAATGAGAAGTACTCTACTAAAAAAATTCCCAGGTGAAAGAGAAGGCAGGAGAATTTGAGGTACAGTCTGTTGGGCTCTGAGGTGAGGAGATGCCAACTAAAACATTGCTTTTTTAATACGTAAGTTCATATGCCCTCTGATTTGTCATTTTCCAAATTTTTCTCTCTTACTTTTTATGAGATCTCCTCATCTTTCTAGGTTTATCATTAATACACTTTGCTTTAGAGAATGGTAACTGAGTCACAACATCTAGGAGACTTCTAATAAATAAGTAAGATTTGAAATTAAGGTAAAGTTTAAAGCATAAGAACATAAAAATGGCACCTACTTTTATTTTCTAGCATTTAGTTTATCACAGCTTTACTAAGTAATGTTCCTTGAAATAAGCTATATCAATTTACAGATATTATTAAAAATGCACAGAAAATAAATGAATACTAATATCCAAGCATGTGAATTAAATAACTCAAACTGAAACCTTGGCAATACCACCATCTTATGGTAACATTTTAAGGTTTTTAAAACTTTGATATTAATACATAGCAAAGTATTTTTAATGTATACAATTATAATATATAACTATAAAATTCTTATAACTATACCAAATATTATATTAAATATATACATATATCATATATGCACATATATGATAGATGTATGTGTATGTATTTATATACAGTCATACACACACTGATTAACAACTGGGATATGTGTACTTACTCAAATCTAAATGATATAGCCTACTACACACCTGAGCTATACGGAGTAGCCTATTGCTCCTAGGTTACAAACTCATATGGCATGTTACTGTACTGAATAACGTAGGCAGTTATAATGCAATGGCAAGTATTTGTATATTTAAATATATATAAACATAGAAAAGGTACAGTAAAAACACTGCATAAAAGGCAAAAAATGGTAAACCTATGTAGGGCACTTATCATGAATGGAGCTTGTAGGACTGAGAATTACTCTGGGTGAGTGAGTAGAGGGTGAATATGAAGGCCTGGAACATTACTGTGTACTACTGCAGACTTTATGATTTATTTATTTATTTATTTATTTATTTATTTATTTATTTATATCTTGAGACAGAGTCTTGCTCTGTTGCCCAGGCTGGAGTGCCATGGCACAATCTCAGCTCACTGCATTCTCCACCCCCCGAGTTCAAGCAATTCTCCTGCCTCAGCCTCCTAAGTAGCTGGGATTACAGGTGTGCGCCACCATGCCCAGCTGATTTTTGTATTTTTAGTAGAGACGGGGATTCACCATGTTGGACAGGCTGGTCTCAAACTCCTGACTTTGTGATCCACCCTCCTTGGCCTCCCAAAGTGTTAGTATTACAGATGTGAGCCACCACGCCCGACCTACTAATGCAGACTTTAGAAACGCTTTACATGTAGGCCACACTAAATTTATTACGAATATTTTTTTCTTTAATAATAAATTGACTATCTTGCTGTAAGTTTTTACTTTATAAACTTTTCATTTTTAACATTCTTTTACTCCTGCTTTTTGAAAACTTTTGTAACAAAACTTACCTTAAAGTACAAAGATATTGTACAGCTGTACAAAATTTTTAATTTCTTTATATACTTATTCTATAAGCCTTTTTCTATTTTTAAAATAATTTTTAACTTTTTTAGCTTTTTTGTTAAAAACTAAGACACATGCACACACCTTAGCCTAGGCCTACAGAGGGTCAGGATCATAGAGTCATCACTAGGTAATAGAAATTCTCCAACTAAAATCTGATCATATGAGTCCACTGTTGTACACGCAGCCTGTTGTTGAGTGAAACGTTGTTACTGGCCACATGACTGTATGTAGCTCCACAAACATCTCTTTCTAAAACTTCATTGTATTGTTATTTTTCCAATATGCTAATTCACTGATTCCCCCCCCTCCGCACTTTCAAGTCTTTTATTTCTACACCATTTAATATCTTATACTGCCAGTACTCGAATTTGTCATGTAGTTTTATAATTCTTGTCAGTTTATTTTCTATCTCATGTGATTATCTTCTATATTCATTTTTCTTCTTTCATAATTTTTTAAATGAAGTGTGCTTGTTCTCTAAATGGTCTCCTTTCTCTTAAAGTAAATCATCTATGAAAGCATTTTCTCCATGGGTCTTACTAGTGTCTTGTGAAATTTTCATAGGTTCTTCTTTTTGATGTTGTCTTAAATTCACCGTTTGTTATTCTTCCTTTTAGTAACAGTTTTAATGGGGCCCATGATGACTCAGTTAAAGAACATTATTGTCCAGGTTCCCTGTCACCTAGATGTGATCATATTATGAAGTGCAGGCTGAGGGGATGTAAACAAAATTGATGTGTGTGACTTCCAGTGCTTTTCCCTAAGAATAGGATGTTTTCCCTGAATTCCCTTTCCCTGCACAGTAGGTTGGAAAATGTCAACAACCGAATTAACCATCGTGCTCCTAGAGATGAAAATCAAGTACAGATAATGACAGAGACTTTATTAGGTCCTTGGATGAGCTCAAGAAGTGTCTACTTAGCTGTAACCCCTTGGAAAGTTACCTTAAGAAAGTAAAATTGCTATGTTGTTTGAGAAGTTATATTTTTAAGTATTGCTATTATGGTAGTTTCTAGATCAAGATTTCTCAACTTAATATGATTGACATTTGGGGCTGAATGTGTTTTTGTACTAAAAAGCTGTCCTGTGTATTTTAGGGTGTTTAGTAGCATCCTTAGCCACTACCACTAGACGCCTACGGCATTCTTCTGGTCGTGACTAGCAAAAATGTCTCTGGACTTTGGCAAATGTCCCCTGTGGAACAATTGTGTTTCTGCTTGAGAACCACTAGTCTACAGATTAACGAATGTAGACATTGTTCCCTGTAGTAATGCTGCCTTAATAAAACTTATAAAATCTTGCTTTCACTTAGGAGTCGGTGAGAAGAAGTGACAAGGCATTGAAGTCTGCAAGGTGGTGATAATTCACCTGCTGCAGCATTGGATAAAACTGTTAACTGTGGAAAGTACTAGGCAGAACATATTCCTGTGGAGATTAAAGCTGCTAGAGAAGTGCTTAGAAAGGCAGAATGTCAGTATATTTTGATTGCTATACGCAGTTTTTAGTAAAATATTATAACAAAAAATGAGCACAGCTAGGAAAAAATGAACAGCTGAAATTAGAAATAGAGGTGACAGAACTTTTTAAGGGAGATAACCTAAAATTGGCTAATAAACTAGAAAAGTGAGATTTCTCAGAGTTGAAAAAACTAACTGCCTCAGTACTTCAAACAATGGGAAAAAGAGTGTCACTCATGGCTTTTTTTAGAGTCCCCCCATCTGGACTTTTCAGCCAAAAGTATGAAAAAGCCACACGCAAAGATTAGATTATAAATATTGCCTTCATACCACTACGAACTTTTTCATATGACCACGTTAGTCATCTTTAAAATAAAGAAAAGTGGGCCCAGGGCTGGGCTTACGCCTTTTAATCCCAGCACTTTGGGAGGCCGAGAGGGTGGATAACCTGAGGTCAGGAGTTGGAGACCAGCCTGGCCAGCACAGTGAAACCCTGTCTCTACTAACAGTATAAAATTTAACCAAGTGTGATGGCATGTGCCTATAATTCCAGCTACTTGGGAGGCTGAGGCAAGGGAATTGCTTGAACCCGGGAGGCGGAGGTTGCAGTAAGCAGAGATCGCACCACTGCACACCAGCCTGGGCAACAAAGTGAGGCTCCGTCTCAAAAAAAATAAAATAAAGTAAAATAAAAATAAGAAAAGGCCCAGCAAAGAAGCCTATTAATTAAAAACAAGAATCAGAAAGTAAAGAAGTGTAACTAGAAGAGATTTTTGGTGAAGTTCTTCCAAATGAAACTAAATAGACCAGAAACCTTAATTCTTGAGAAAGTTGAAAAACCACTAGCTCAGCATTGAAAGGCTTTTAATTGTGTGATACAAAAAGATATCCTTGGTTTATTAAACCAGAACCAGCTGCTTGTCATGGTGGCTCACACCTGTAATCCCAGTACTTTGGGAGGCTAAGACGGGAAGATCATTTGAAGCCAGGAGTTCAAGACCAGCCTGGTCAACATGGTGAAACCCCATCTCCACTAAAACTACAAAAATTAACCAGATGTGGTGGTACACGCCTTAATCCCAGCTACTTGGGAGGCTGAGTCATGAGAATCTCTTGAACCTGGGAGGTAGAGGCTGCAGTGAGCCAAGATCATGCCACCTTACCCCAGCCTGAGTGACAGAGACAGATGCTGTCTCGGAAAAATCAAACAAACAAAACTGTACCAGCAAAAAGAGGCTAGGAAATCTGTGCAGTGGCCTGATATGGCCTGATGAAGCATACCATCTGCTTCAGAATATGCCATGGAAGTTAAGGAAACAAAGAGAATTTCCCAATTGGTCAAATGACCAACCAGAAAAGAACAATGGATAAGTTCCTCCCAAAGACCAGAACCAGTGTAACCAAGGAAATTCTGCTGCTGCCAGGTCAAGGAGTTCTCAAAATTCTGATCCAGAGTGATTTATTTCATAATTGTAATGAGCCAGTGACTTTTTCTAGGTAAGTATTTTTGTTGCAGTTGTCCTATTTCTTTTTCACCATTGTATATTGGCTAGGTATGGAGTGGGGGACTGGGAGGTATGAGAAAAATGACTGTGTTTCTGAGTTCATCCCTGTTGGGCCCCCACTGGATCACACAGAAAGAATTGTGTGTAATTCAGAGATACTCAATTTTGAGTAGGATGCAGTAACTGGACAAGTCATTTGATTGTATAGTATCTCTTGGAGAACAGATGTTTTCTTTTTGGAAAGCAAAACAGAACAAAACAAAACATGAATACTTGTACATGGATACTTGGGAGGCCAGTATGGAAGTCTGTCAGAAACCATTAATTTTCCTCAGTGTTTTTCCCCTCCTTACTTCCTTTCAACAATAGAATCTATTGACTTTTTAGCTGGGCACAAGGTATGCAGCTAGAGAGAATACACCCCAATCCTCCCTTGCAAAATAGGCCTTATCTCACAACTAATGCCAATAGGATAAGTGAAAACAAATTTCTAAACTTTTTGAATCATGTATTGAAAAGAAAACTAATTGCCTTTCAAGAACTTCCCCCTTCAGGTTGGCAATCAAGTAGCAAAAACTTGAACAGTGGCATCATACCATACACAGACTGAGCCACCTCACTGGGAGTAACAGATCTGTTTCACCAGTTTGGTTCCCTAGATGACCTCATAAAGGAAAGCCCATGTTATTTGCCCTGGGTTCTCAGGTGAGAGAGTGATATGTTTTAATCTTGTTTCAACTACAACTACTGAAGTTTTGATTCCATTAATCCTAACTCCTACATCTTTCCTGGGATTATTATGATATTAACATTCTGCTTAAAATATGTTCAAGTTTCAGATGTATTAAGATTTATATTTGAAGCTCAATTATTCAGGATATTGAATATACACAATTGATCTGGTGTTTCGGACATGAGACATTATA